TAAAACTACATACTACTTTCTCTGACTCTAACACAACTCGTGACCCTCTCTGAGAGCCCAGCCCCAGGTGGGTTGGATTGGCCACCAGGCTCAAACAATCCTCACCAGAATCCAATCAAGCAATCACCCCAGGTAAACAATTCTCCAAACACATTCCACATAGGGAAAACAAGGAGCAGAAATAGAAATTGTTTTCTCTTTAGTTTCTCTCTGTGCATCTATGAAAAATCCTGAGAGGGAGAGAAATGTGCTGCCACAGGGGGTGGCTGTGTGGGGTGACAGAGGTTAAGGTGCATCCAATGTGACTTTGTGCTTCATTGCATACCCCTTTATCTTCATCAGGGCATTTGCTCCATCTGTGCTGGGGGTAATGGGTGGCAGCATTTTGGCAAAGCAGCATCCCAAGGCAGGTTCAGCTGAGCCCCGGGGAGGTCTGGGTTGATTTGCAGACTCTAATGCAACATGACAGCCCAGCACCAGGCAGATCAGCACGAGGACTCGCTGCTGGCACCAGGGCAGAATGCTGGGAGCAAATGGGAAAAAAAGCCCCGTGCCCATTGGTGAGAGTGATCCAAATCCCCGTGGCTGGTTATGGGATGTTATGGATGTGAGCTCACAGCATAACTGTGAACACATGAATGAATGAACCATGGAGGCTCTCGTGCCTGGTTTTCTCCATGCAGGAGTGTCTTGGTTTGAAAAGACAGGTGTCTGCTAAGGAAGGCAGGAGTCTCCCTTGAAATGGAAAATGCAAACCCCCTGATGTCGCTGTCGAGGCAGGACCCTCCCTCACAGTTATTATAATTTTTAAATTAAAGGGCTCTCAGGTAAAGATATGGGAGTAGGAATAACAGTTCTTTACTAGGAAAATTTAAAATACAAATGCAATAATACAGAAAACCAACACTGACAGAGTCAGAGCAGGACCTGTCACCCTGTGGGTCAGGGAGGTGGCAGCAGTCCCATCCCAGGGTGGCTCAGCCCTCCTGCAGTGCCAGCTGTGCTTCTGCTGGAGCAGGATCCTGGACATGGGGGGAGTTTTCCTCTGGAGCTCCAGGGCAGGGGGAGATGGGCCTGGGCTCCTCTGGGAATGCAGCATCTCCCCATGGATGATGGAATTTTCTCAGCCATGCAGGGACACTCAGTGGCCATGAACAGCAGAGATCTCCTGCAGGGAGGATTGGCTGTGGAAGAGATAAAGAAAAAACTGCCCAATGAACAGGAGAGAACTGCCCCACCTCTGACAGATGTGAATAGAATAAAATACACACCCCCAGCCACATCTTCCAACCTGACAAGGAGGATGAGTGGATACTACACTGACCAGTCCTGTCTTATCCCGACATCTGCAAGTCTCTGCCTGTGCATCAGCATGCAGACAGACAGACAAAGGGTTGACACTGAGTGGGGAATGGGAAGAGGTGATAAAGACATGGCTGGTGGAGAGGGAGAAGAAGTGAGGTTTGTCTGTCCTGGGAAGCAGCACCTTTGCAGTACTGTGTTAGTGGAGTCCACACCACACAGGTCCTACATCACCCTCCAAAATTAATTACCAGTGCCTCTGCTGAAGATAAAACTGAAATCATATTTATTTTTGTGCTTACATTCTTGTTGTCATGTAATTAAGTGCTACCATGTAATTAAAGAGGATTTAGAGGGTATTTATGCCCTGTGATGTTCCATAATTGCAGCTAATTTCTCATTTACAGCTTCTAAGCATCTCCAGTGGAACTCCAGGAGCTGCTGGGGCAGGGACAATGGCCATCACAGGGCTTGGGGACATTGTGCAGAGCTAGAGCACTGAAGGCTTGCATCTTGAAAGGCCTGTCCCCATCCCCAAGTCTTCATCCAGAAAGTTAAACTCTCCCCAGGCACAGGGCAGGAGCGATGACCCAGAAGCATCTTTATGTGCAAATGGGGGTGCTGGTGAGAACAGCAGCAGGAGCTATCCCAGCTTCTGGCCCCAGCTCTCCCTTGTAAAACTCCTTAACACCCAGAGACACCATGTAAGGATGAAATAAACCCTTCTCCAGCAGGCAGGCCTGCTGAGGGGGGATTTATTTCACATTTCCATGTGAGTGAATATATGGTGGGAAGTGCAGGATGTGAGGACTTTTCCCAGGCAGGCAGTCCCGAAGGACAGGGCTGTCCTGGCAGCAGGGCAGCCAAGGCCATCTGCAACAGACATCAAATCTTAGTGCTCAGAGGGCCAGGTTCCCAAATACTCACCTGTCACAACTCCAAACACATGCCCAGCCTCACAAGGTGCTGTGGATTAGCTCAGTATTAGCTGGTAGCAGCTCCCATTAGGAGCTGGGATTTCAGGCACCACTGGACCAGGGTGCTGCACATGGACACAGAGGGGAATGGGTCACCTTCCTGCAGGACACTGGGCACTGTGGGTGTTTCTAGGTGTTCATATTTGTGTCAGAGAAGAGAGGAAAGCCTTTAAGCATGAGCCATCCTGTGCCACACCATGTGTTTGCAGCCTGTGCTGCATCCCAGCATGGCCCACAGAGCACTGGCGCTGGCAACAGTGAAGAGGGATGGGCAGTGGCCAGACCAAGCTCACTGCTAACAGCTTTCACTATGAAACTGGGCACACACCTTGGTCTTCAGCATGAAATTAGGTGCCCACCTTTGCAAGCCAGTCACAGAAGCAAATTTTGCACTGAGCAAGAATTCCTTTGTAGCATGTGTTTAAACAAGGTTTGAATGGGGAGCTGGTAACGTACCTGTAAATACATACATAAAAATAATTTGCTCTTTAAAATGCTGAGATAGACTCAGTTGTTGCCCTCAGTAAAATAAGACTTAGCCTGGTGATTCACAGACTTCTCATGGGAGCAGGCAGGAGGCAGCTGTTGAGGTGACGTGAAGCCAGACGTTCTGGATCCACACTCATTAATGTGAAAATAAAAGGAGATTCCCCCCAAACCTCTGCACTAAGTTATTACTTGCTTTCCTGTGGCAGTTTATAGAGGCTATTGATATATTCCAAGGCAATTCAATAAAAGAATATGTAATGAAAGTGAGACATAATGCAGGTTGCAATGACAGAGATGTGTGTGAATTTTTAAACTGGCAAAATTTGCAGTCAGTTGGGAAATCCATAGATTTCTTCACCTGCCTATAGTTAGGGAAAACTGGTAAAAGCATCAAAGTATTTCATCCTTAAACATGTCACCGGTCAGCAGGGTGAAAATCATTTCCCCTCTGAGGGCTGATGGTGACAACATGGAATGGAACTGGAAACAACCAGTTGTGTTTTTCTGCCATGGTGCAGGTTTCTTTGTTGATCCTCAGCTTCAGCCCCATAAGTCCACAAGATCTGGCAATCAAGCAACCACTGTTACAGTGGATTATTTGCTTCTCTAAGCTTTCCACCTCCTTTAATTTCCCCAAAATCCTGCAACAGGCTGTGTTTAGAGGGGTGATAAGGATTGCAGTTAAGCAGAGGGTGCAGAAGGAGTTCATAACGGACAAGATTTCATTTGGTTTTAAGCAGCAAGGGTCTTCACTCTCCCCCTGGAATTAACACAATGAAAACCTTTTTAAAGAGACAAATTACACATCAGCAGATCAGTAATAACTGGGCTCCAGTGCTGTTTCCCCTCAGAAAGCTGCAGGAGGGAACTGGTCTGCAGGACATGCTGCATCTCTACATCTGCTCAGGAGGATCCTACTGGTGCAGACCAGTCTAGTGACACCAAATTCGCAGCAGCTTCAGCTGCTGAGGAGAATTATTTCCACTGTTTCTCCATTAGCAGCTGCTGCAACTAAGCAGCTTTTTTTTTCCAGTGGGAAAGTGCAAGTTCTTTCCAGTGGGACAGGAAAATCACAAGTTTCTTGTTGAATTACAAAGCAAAGCAAGGCACACACCACAGGGTCTGAGAGTCCTAGAATCATTTGGGTTGGAAAAGACCTCTAAGATCAGAATCCATACGTTAATTTGGCACTGCCAAGCCCACCACTAAACTATGTCCCCAGGTGCCATATATTCAAGTTTTTAAAAATCCCTCCAAGGATGGTGATTCACCCCTTCCCTGTGTGTCAGTGTTTGATGTGTGCCTGCCATGCACGCATCCTCACCTGCCATGGCTGAAGGACATGGCAGCCAGGAGGGATTTCAATGTCAAGGCAATAACCATGCTGATGGATGGGAACAATGAGTTCCCTAAACCAGCGAGTACTGCAGCCTCCCTTTGGAGATCCCAAAAAACTCCAGAGCTGGGATCCTGAGCTTGCAATGCAATCCACATCAGTTTTCCAGCTGTGTGATCGCCTTGGAATGACAAGTCTATGGCTGGGAAGCCAACCAGGGACACCATGGAGCTGAATTTCCTTCCCAATGCACCCAAGAGGAAAGCTGCACGGGCTGCCATAGCATGGAACAGGCACCATCTGAAATAAACACTTGGTTTTGGCAGCCTTGAAAGCCATCCATCAGCTGGTGGTTTTGGCTTATGGAAAACCTGCAAGACACTTTTATGTTGAAAAGTCCAAGTAGGCTCAGAGGCTTCCCACATCACCACACCCTGGGGTCACTCCCACCATTAACAGCAGCGGGAGCAAATCCACCACAGAAGTCCAGCTCCTGCCAGTTGTGCTCCAGCAGGGAACATCACAGCTCCAACCCCTAATGGTTCAGGCACTGCTGGCTGTTAGCAAAGACCTGCTTGCTTCTGCCATGCCGAGGAAGCAGGTGGCAAACTCTGTTTCTTGGTGGTTTGTTGGTCAGCATTTAGGAAGAGCACGGGCCTGAACTCCAGATAAATCTGATTTTCCAGCTGGGCATGTGCACCAAACAGCAGGGCTTGGGGTTTACCTGGTGTTCAGAAAAAGGGAGTGCAGTAACTGTACATATATATATCTATAGATACATATATATATATATATATATACACACACCCACATATCCATCTCCTTGTGCTCTGGGTAGATTAAAAGGTTTCTCACACACACAAAAAAAAAAGTTCACCTCATTTTCACATCTTTAGTGACTTCAAAAACATTTTAATACACAATATATGGCTGAAGAAACAAATATTTTCCTTTCTCAAGCATCTTCCCAGGCAACATTTGACTTGTTTTTTTGAGCAAAGCAATTCATCAAAACTGCCAAGAAAATAGAAATATTGTTGGACCATCCAAATATTAAACTATCCCCACAAAATGCCACAGATAAAACTGCTGGCATCATACTCATTGTGTAGACCTAATGTCTCTGCACCCATCCTGGAAAAGGTCAGTTTGCATTTGCTACATTCACGTTGCTAAATTATAAAAAAAGGGCTGCAGATGCTGCATTTTGAGGGGATGCTGTTCCCCCCACCCCCCAAACCACTGCCACAACATTAATGACTTTCTCAGCACAGCTGCTCTGAGCATACACACACACAGGTTTCCTTTTGCATTCATCCTTATAAAGCTGCTCACACAGATACAGCCCATCAGCAAAATGTAAAAATAACTGAAAAGATATAATTAGTGTGGATGCGCTGTGGATTTAATAGGGTTTTTATATTTCTTCCTTTGCTGGCCCATAAGGCACAAATCCTGGATGCAGAGAGGCTGATTGGGAGGGAAAGAGAGAGCTTTGCTGTGGTATATGTTTGGCAAAACCCTCAAATATTTTTCTCAGTTTTCTATTGCCTGTATTTTTTATTGAGCACCACAGAGAAATTGCAGCAGATTGATTCTTTCACAGCTCCCCATAGTAGAAATGATTTGGAGCCAAAAGCTCAATGCCTGCCAAACTTCATAATTAACTGCAATAACTCTTTAATTTGAACTTTAATTCAAATACCCATGTTTTAGGAGGATTGTAGGGGAAAAAAAAAAAAAGAGCAAAATAAACCAAAGGTAACCAGTTCTGGTAAAATACAGAAGCAGCCCCAAGCTTGTGCTGTGCCACAGGCAACTGGAGATCAGCTGTCCTATCCTGGTCACACAGAAGCCATTCGGGGATGGAGAGGCATTGTCCCAGTCCAGCAGAAAGTTGAATGAGAAGGACATTGACATCAGACACCAGGAAAGTGACAGGCTCAAAGCTGCCTTCACTGCCCTGCATGGGAGGTTTTCCAAGGCCACCTCCAGGGATGAAGGGATCAAAGCCATCAGAAAGGCCACCAGCTGAACCTGGGGACAAAAAAGGTGTAATTAAAAAAAAAAACTAAAAGCGACCTAGGTAAATTTGCTCTAACGCAACCAATTTTACACATTAAATGACACAGAAATTGGCTTCTTTTCCTTGTGAAAGAGGAATGAAAAATACAGTCCTGGATCTGTTCCCCTAGTCAATGGTTTTTAATGGCTCTGTCACTGCAGTGTAAGCTGGACTGGGAAGCATCAGGAAAATGAGGAACCCAAAGGAGGAATGTTCATGCAACTTCTCTTCCCAGGTACACACGATTCAAGCTGTCAGACTGCTCATGCAGCCCCAGAGCTCTCCCAGCCCACCCTGGCTGAGCTCCTGTGAAGGGCCCTTTAGGGAAAAGCAAACTGTTGACATGAGGAGCAGGAGATAGAGCGGGACCAGAGAGGAAATGGAGATGACAGAGCTCAGGAACGCATTTACAAATTTGGCAGGGCCTCAGAGCTGTCAGCCCAAGCCTCTGGGAAGAAGCTGAGGATTAATAGGGATGTCTGGCCTGCTCTGGGTTGGAGGACACCAAAGAGCATCCACCTTGCCCTATGGATCAGCCTGGGTCAGCCTGAACCACGGTGACTTTTCACCATTTCACAACCAAGAGCCCAACCAGTGATATTACAAGAAATTTTAGCATCGTGCCCCAGGGATGCCAATGTTCCCACAGCATCATGTCCTGACTAAGGGGCAGGAGGGGAATGCTGTGACTTGCTGCTCAGAACCTGGGCAGCTGTAATGAATGCCCTGATAAAGAGATTCAGATCAATAAAGCTGGCAGTTCCTACAGCAGATGAATGGCTTTCGGTCTGTGGGTTACAGCATCGTTAACTGCCCAACCACCCTGCTCGCTGTCATTAGCGAGCAATCGCTGCGTGTATCTGCTCTCCCTCCTTCATCCACCATCCATCTCCCACTCCCTCATTCCTGCACCCACACAGAACCCTTCTCCTCCCATCCAGTTGTGCTCACAAACAGGCTCTGATGTCTCTCTTGAGGCAAGCCGGATCCGCAGAGGGGGAAAGGAAGGATTTCATTTCCCCGTGCCTAAACTGTTCCAGTAAATCCAAAGTTTTCCTCTGAAGCACTGGCCTGACTCAGAGCAGCTGGCCCATGGCCACAATTACTTCCACTCTGAGCACATACAAGAAGCCAAGTGAGAGGCCAGGGAGGGGTGATTTGAGCACCAAGGAGTCAATCAATCAAAGGCAGCCGATGTTCATTAGTCCCTGTGCCTTCCCCTGTCACGGCTGCCCCATTATGCAGGGACAAGGAGTCTCTCCATGGGCCAGCCAGGCCACCCAGGAGCCAGCAGAGAGCCCAGAAGGGAGAGGAGGACTTGAGGGAGTCAGGGTCTGAGAATGCAGCTCCAAATTGCCACTTACAGAGCCTGTCTTCTGTGAGCATGGTGAGAGCCACCCCATTGCAGAGTTATTTCCATTTTTCTAGCTTTTCCTAAAACTAGGGAAAAAAAAAAAAAAAAAAGAAAAAAAAAAAAAAAGAAAAAAATAAGAGACCCTACCAAAGGAGTTCCAGGTGTTGTTCCAGGAGAGAAACCAGCAAACATATATTTTCATTCAGCAGCAGGGTAATGGGCAAGGCAGGGATGCTCCCCAGGGAGTTGGAGAGAAGCTCCAGAGCATGAGGGCCTTTAGAAGGAAGAGACAGCAATGGCTCAATGTTTGGCAGAGGGTGGTAAAGTGAGATGTGCTAAGTGGCCTAGAGATGATGCCGTGATATCACCAAATTAATTGTTTCTTAAATAAAAAAGCAATAACAAGAAGAATCTGTCTTTATCCGTGCTCAAGGGCTATGACAAGATCTTCCCACCAGCCATGGGTTCTATTCAGGGTTGATTTAGGCTCCACCAATGTCACAGCTGGGACAGCCATGATACACAGAGCATCACCATACAATTTCAGAAAGCTTCAGCCCATACAGAGCTCCACCTTACCAGTCCAGATGGCTTCAAGCATCAGCCCTTCTTGTTCTTTAGCCCAACTTTTTATCTCCTCATGTTGATGCATGGCACCTGTGTGCCCTCTGTTCCCTTTGGTGTTTGGTCAGTGCTCCTGGGCACTCCATGGCTCATTGCTGTCAGTGCTGCTTACCTGTTTCTCACAGCTGTGACCACTGGGAATAAGGCTCAGCCCAGCCCCACTCCCAATTACCCTAAACTGTGTCCCTATACACCAAAGCCAGCAGGATTGCAAATGGGTCCAGCTGGTCCCATGTGTGTCTCGACAACTGCCAAGAAGGATTTACCTCTCTGTGCTGAGCGTAGTTTTGAGGCTAACACCAGCCACGCTCTTTTGCTTCTGTGTTCCCAGGTCCTCCCCATTCTTGGCTAACCAAGACTGGCTTGGAAGGCTCTTCTCTCTCCCAGGAAAATGGGGGTTGATGGTGAAAACCCAGTCCTGAGGAGTGTGGTCATCAGCTTCAGCTTGCTCCTGCTGGGCGCTGTCCTCAAGCCTTTCGAGTGCCGTCTGGAGATGACGGCAGAGCCGGCCGAGAGGACAGCGGTGGATGAGGCAGGTGGCCTCGCCAACTGCAGCCCACCTATCAAAGAGCAGCCCATGGTCTTCCACCACATCTACAACATCAACATCCCGCTGGACAGCTGCTGCTCATCCATGTTCAAGTCTTCGGCCGAGGAGGTGAGTTCAGAAGACGAGCGGCTGGCAGAGTACACGGAGCAGACCTCCGACAGCGAGAGCCAGGTCACCTTCACCCACAGGATAAACATGCCCAAGCAGGCCTGCAAGTGCTCCACCTCCCTCCCATCCCTGCAGGAGCTGCTGAGCAGGATTGAGATGCTGGAGAGGGAGGTCTCCATCCTCCGGGACCAATGCACCTCCAATTGCTGCCAAGAAAATGCAGCCACAGGTAGTAATGACATCCTGTTAGCTCTTGCTGGGGACTGAGGGCTTGAGCAAAAGGCAGGAGAAATAATGCAAAACCTGATGGTGCCACTCAGAGTAGTGACAGAGGAAAACCAATGTTTACCCACCATGGGGCTGTGGCTTTAGTGAAAAAAACTTAATTTAAGTCCTCTAAGTCAGGAAAACCCCCGGGAGGGCTTTGGTCACTCAAAAGCCTGTGCCACACTTGCTGCAAAAACTCTGTGATGTAGAGAGAGCTGAAACCCTTTACAGATGGAATTACAGCTGAGTAGGGGTGAGCAGGGGGATCTCCCAACTCTGCAGTCCTCACAACACTCTTAGACATGTGCCACTGCCGGTGGGACAGGGAGCAGAGATGCTGCTGATGCTCTCCTAAGCTGTCCCTGGGCTGAAGGCAGGGCCATGGGAGTTGGCAATAAGCCCTTTCACCTTCTCTGAAGGGGGAGTGAACATATCTGAAAAGCTGAGTTAAAAAAAGAATTTAAAAATACATTAAATAAGCAAACAAAACCTTAAAAAAAAAAAAAAAAGGCACAATACCATCAACATGATATTTCACCTGAATAATAATATGTGCTTTTGTGGAGACCTCCAAGAGGTCCCCCTAGGGTTACTCCATTAAAGGCAACCCCTTGTTCCACCTCAGCTGGCTCTCAGGGTCAGGAAAGCAGCACTCAGCTGAAATGGATGGGTCAGGAAGGTTTGGGCTAGCAGCTGCATTTCCATGGTCCAGGAGCCAGCATACTGACAGTTTTCCTTGTCTCAAAGGGCATCCATCCCAAATGCAGCCCAGCCCTGCTCATGGCTTCAGCACAGCAGGTTCTCCTTGCAAGGAGAACCACACAGGGCATCTTTCCAGGGGAAAACTGCTTTTCACACCAAGAACAGCAGCAGAAAGGAACAGAAAATTAAAACCAACCCTTTTACCCCCAATAGTCACTGTATTTTTAATTTTAAAGTTTTGCAGCTATTAGAGGATTTTTCCAGTGGTACCCCACCACCTCTGTGTGTGGGACACATCAAAATGAAATAGGTGCAATCAATCCTGAGGTCAAGAGTTCCACCAAAGTTGTGTTGGTCAGTGAGGGAGAAACAAGGATTGACAGACAGCAGGGTGGCTTGGGCTGGCATCTATTCTGTGGCCAGTGGAAGTCAATGTGTTCCCAGCCATGGCTTCAGTCCACATCCCTCACAATGCCACATCCATCCGTTGCATTAATAACTAAAACAAAACAGGAAACACCAGTCTGTGCAAAGTGAGGGTTAAAATCATGTAGGAAATGCTGTGGGAAAAACCTGTTTTAAAGGAATTAATTTGAAACTCTGATGGGCCTATTTGGGTTACTTGCAATATGCATAGACAGTCCCATTAAATATTCATTGCTTGGTGAAGTCCCCACTCCCATCACAGATGTGCTGAGCTAAAACTGGAGTAATTTAATTTATTTTTACCAGAGTTGCTTTCAATTCACTGCACTGCAAAAGAACCGGGATCCCCACCCCACCACCCAAGGCAATTTCCCTGAGGAAAGCCTCTTTTCTCCAGCACACTTACAAGCATCCTCTCTCATCTTTTGATAACTCAACTAGAGGCTGACATCTGAATAGATCCTGACTGGCATTCCCAGTATTTGCAGTTGGGATGGGAATTGTCCTGCAAAATAACCCAAATGTGTCTGTCTGGCACAGCATGTAACTGAGCTGCTTTTACATGTACATCTGCTACATCCCCCACTGGAAAAGCTGCTCAGAAAGGTCAGCTAGGATGGAAAATTTATCTGGGGACAGAGTCTTGGGGGTCTTCAGGGTGCAAAGATTTCCCACAGTTTGGAGGAAGCACAGAAAGGGTTTCTGTTCCTCCTTGGTTCACATGAGGAAAAGCAGTGCAAATCAGCAAGGAAAAGTTAGCCTGCCTGGGATAAACCCTTTGCTGGAGCAATGGCTCTGTTTCAGGGCAAAACAGGGGAGCATTAGTAGTGTCAGTGACTGGTGCCTTCATCCTCATCATCCCTCCTCACCCCAGAGTGCAAGGCTGCCAGGTAAAGAGGGCATTAGAAGTGCTGGCCCCAGAGCCCATGTGCCATCCCTGC